TATTTTATAGAGATGAGGGTCTCACTGTGTTGTCCTGGCTGGTCTCAAATTCCTGGTGTCAAGCAATTCTCTCACATTGACTTCCCAAAGTGTTGGGATTACAGGCATAAGTCACCACACCTGGCCCAGAAATGTTCTTAAAAGCATAAGAAGTAGAGTTAAGTGCTCTTAAGACATATATAGGCCAGGTGCAGTGGCTCACGCCTGTAATCCCAGCACTTTGGGAGGCCGAGGCAGGCGGATCACGAGGTCAGGAGATCGAGACCATCCTGGCTAACACCCGTCTCTACTAAAAATACAAAAATTAGCCAGGCGTGGTGGAGGGCACCTTCAGTCCCAGCTACTGGGGAGGCTGAAGCAGGAGAATGGGGTGAACCTGGGAGGCGGAGCTTGCAGTGAACCGAGATCGCTCCACTGCACTCCAGCGTAGGTGACAGTGCGAGATTCTGAAAAAAAAAATAAAAAGAAAGAAATACATAAAGGGGGAAAGTATGCTACCTAATATAAAATGTCACAGCTCAGTCACAGTCACTAAAACAGATCGAGGAGTTAAAAAGATATGGCAAGACTGAGAACTGACATGGAGAAACAGCAGTGGTTAGGAAGCTGGAGGTGGGCTTGTCCAACCTGGGAAAGCAGAATCAAAGCATGAGTGAGCCTGAGATGGGCACAGGGGAGCTCCACGTGTGCCCTCAGGTGATACAGGCAGGCCAGCTCAAGGCTATCAGGTAGATAGCATCTGAAGTGTGAAAAGTCTGGCATTAGATGAAATCTCAAACTGCATCATAATTGAGAGTCTTGGAATGTTTTTATGGGCCATAAAACTAATACCAGGTACAGTATAGGGATGATAGAGAAGGTCGGTAAATGCAGTAAGCCTTTACATAAACAGATGCCCAGCAGTTGGCTAGAAAGTGTTGATGTACTTTATTTAATTTGGATACATGAAAGTAATATGTTGAAATTAACCTCTTTCTCTGAATATTCTCCTTCTGTCAGTCAATTCTTTAATTACTGCCTTCTCCCTTTAATATTTTGACAAGAAAAATTATTTCTTGCCAGTTTACAGTTGCATAATTTTAACACCTTTGGCTTTTAATAATGCATTTTACTTATTCTAAATTGCATACATTGTTTTGTTACGTTTTTAACATCTTTACAATTGAGATAGATCTTATGACTAATAGAATCTTAGAGAAAAACCAGTATTCAGGGTCAGTGGGTCTACAGATTCCTTCTTCTGAGGGATGTTTACATTTAGACCTGAGCATAACTTTTTTAAGTCATACATTTCCCCATCATTCTATTATGCTGCCAGATTACATTGTAATTTAAATTGATAGTACAAAAATGCTGGGTCTTAAAATACAGTGATAGTTATAGCCCCTAATCATGAGATCAAAAATATTTTCCTAGTTTCAAACATTTTAGGAGGTTACAAAAATAATTTTTGAAGGCATTCACATGTAAGTTGTGTAGTTATTGTGTTTTTATCCTCTGGATGTCTCTAAATCTCTACATGTGCCTGTTTATGGAGTCTAATATTTTATTTAATGGTTGGCCATCTTTTGTGACAATGAAAAACGAGTAGTGTGATTTCTCAGAGTCTTCTTAGGCTCTTGGGAAAAGAGTTAATGGAGAATGCAGAAATAACAGTGTATGTGTATAAGTTTACTGTCTAATGACTCAAGTGTCCATTCTATAAAATAGCAATATGTGGTATTTGCCATCAGCAGAAATTACAAGTTATATAGAAAATTGTGGTAGGCTATAGACATAAAATGAATATTTTCTGTAAACCCCATACAAATAAACACTAGTAAATTCCTAGTGAATTCAGTACATATAGTATGTACAAATGATATGAAACTCATCAAAGTGGAAATAATATTGTTAACTATGGGAAAATGGTCAAAGTGTATAATCTAATAAACAAATACAAACTAGAGCCTCAATAGTGTTCCTCCTTCACATCAGTAGGAATTTTTTTAAGTATCCAAAGCTGAACTAGAAGCTAAAACTGGTGTGTTTTGTAATCCCCTAATATGCCCATATCTTCTTTAGAAAGCAACTTAGTGCTGTATATTGATTCATGAAAACAATGTCACCTTTGTTCTAGTCATTCCACTTTTGAAAATCTTTCCTAAGGATCTCTAAAAAAAGTACAAGATACTATACATGAAGGTTTTCTTCATAAGAACGAAACTTTGTAAATGCCTAAATCACCAACAATAGGGCATTGGCTAAGTAAAATATAGGAATAACACTTGATTAGCCAATATTTTCCAAAGGGGTAGAGGTCATTTGTAAGAAAACAAAACATAAAGGGTGTACTGCTTAGAGTTATTTTTTTTTTTACCATGCATAAGGAAAACAAAAAGTAATGGTTGTGAGTTTTAAACAAGGCATTATTTTGGCTCTTGCAAATTTCTGTTCTTGGTAAGACATTTCTTAAAGAAGTAAGCAAGAGACTTTTGCCTATTCCTACCTTTAGCGTAACCATCAATACTATCAATAGTGCTGACTAACCAGGTCTCTTACAGTTGCCAGTTGAAGAAAATCCACCTCACAATAGTTAAAAATGTTTATTGAAAAATTAACTTGTATAGCTAGGGAGTTAACAGGAGTCAGTGAGGCACTACTTGACCAAGGAATCAAGTGATATCCTCAGAACCTTCTCAGTTATGCCCTTTTCTGTTGATCTCTACTGAAAATACCCTTCTCTTGATGGCAGTGGAGCCACTGGCAACTCCTGGTCAGCTACCAGTCCTGTGCATCAGTTCTTCCTTTCTCCTCTAGTTCTTGGGAAGTCCCAGATGAACTGTGATTGACTGGCCAACGCCTTGGTCAGATGCCCAGCATAAAACCTCAGGAATGGGGGTTGTTACTTGGGTGATCTTGTTTTATTTCCTGTATGTTTTCATTTCTTCTTGATTTTCATATTGAAATACACAGTAGCACGTCTTGGTTTTATGTGCGGGATATATGTGTATGGGCATAAGCCTGCTACTTTTGGAATCTTGTACATGATTTTCCTGGGCTTTCATGGAAAATTCCAAATTAAACATTATGACACAGGTACTGAAACATAATATGAATTCTGCAAACATTACTTGTTATGTTTCACACTGAAATGATAATATGTTTGCTTTTTTGATAGAAAGTAGTCATGGACTCTTCCAGAAGCTTTAGGTTAAGAACAGGTATACAAGTTTCTTTCTGTCATGTTGTGCACAAACGATTTTTATTTTTCCACGTAGCTAACATTATATCATCAGATTTTCAAATATGTGGGAAAAAGCTTGAAAATGACTTTTGTGTAAATTTTTTGCATAAGAATAGTTTTCTCCCAATGAACTTCAAATCATGGAGAAAAAACAGATTTTTTAGCTATGTAATATTCTTGTGGGATGGCAGTATTATTAAAATGGATGATTCAGATTTCTGCTAAATCAGAAACTCCCAAATTATTTTTATACTACATTCTAACCACTTTAGTTGGAGGGAAGAAAAGGATCCTGGGTAGATAAATTTGTGAATTGCTGAGTTGGACAGTATTCACTAATAGACTGATTAGTTTTTACTATATCACTGTGCACTTTGATTTTGTAAAAGCAAGGTATAGAGTGGATTGCAATTTGCTCACTAGACCCCTTTTTAAAAAGTAGAACAGTTATTAATATGTGATTTGGAAAATATTGCCTTAACTATTACTCTGTGTGGCTCTTCACCTAGTTTCTTACAAGATTGCTTAAGATAAGTGGGTTGAGATGGACAGTGCTGAGAAGTGTCATAGGTTTGTATTGTTTTCCTTTATTACAACTTGTATTATGTGATGACAAAGTTTGTGTAATAAAAATTCAGAATATTATTTTTAGTCTTGCTTAAATGGATTATCTCACTTTGGTGCAAGGTGGACTGTAAACAGACCTACCTTGACATACGTAGGGCCAACATTTTTTAGAAGCAGGTCTAAGTAAGATCTGTTTCAAAAGCACTCTTGATGAAGTCCCGAATGAATCATGCTGTTGGAAAGAAGTGAGATTTTAGCTTTGGAAATTTAGGGCAAAAGTTAAAAATCATTTTCTGACATGAAAATGTCCTTATAGATTAGAGCATTGAACTTTTTATGCAGTCCATTTAAATCTACCTTGATGAATTGCCCCTGAATAAATCACAGCTAAGTAAATGAATTAGCCATGTTATTTTCTGAGGGATATTGGCCAAAAAACAGTTCTCTTTATTTTACCATATTTTATATATTTAAATAGCTTCTGACAGTAATTTTTCCGCAGCATTACTTCCTGCTTGAGACTATTCCTAAAATGTGCTGCAAATATCAGTAGAGAGGCAAGTGATTATATTTTTATTTAATAAGTAGAAGGGGTAGATGCAGGAGGCAGATGAGGGGCAGGGTCCCTGGATAATCTGTGACCTGCCTATGCACTGGGAGAATGGGGTGGGGTCACGGGAAGTTTGCATCTTGTGCAGTGGGGAGGAGCCTGGCCTCTTCAGCTTGTGTGTGGTGGCCTGGTATTCAGTCTGTGAGTTGGGAGCCCGCTGGAAGGACCCCCTCTCGCTTTTCTGAGATTTTTTTTTTCCTTTTTGCCAAATAAATTATATTCTACTCACCCTTCAATGTGTCCTTGAGCCTAATCTTTCTTGGTCATGTGACAAGAACCTGGTTTTAGCTGAACTAAGGAGCAGAGTTTTGCAGCAGAAGGAGCAGGGCATGTATATGACTTCTCTTTTGCATTAGATTATTTAGTTTTAGTCTCTTTGAAAGTCCTTGACATAGCTCAGTTTTATTCCATATATATACAGAGAGACTATAATTTTGCATTCCCAAGTAGAATTATTATATTTTTGCCTTTATTTCCTTCATATTTATTATTAGAAACTTTTTTCAGGACTATTTAAAGTGATTAAAATGAATATGTAGCTATTTTAAAAATCATTTTTTCGATTCACATAAATTATCACATTTTTTTTCTCTGTAGATAGAGCTTTGGAGCCAAACCCTTCTGATGATCCAAGGGCAAGCACAATCTTCCTGCAAAAATATCAAATAGATGGTGAGACGACATTGTTTTTCCACCAAGAAGATGACTGAAAACTCTCTGTCACAATGAGTGTATTATAGAAAGTATTTAGAGAAACTTATATTGGTTTAAATTTTTCAACTTTTCATATATTCGATTGTCCTATTTTAATGTGTGATATACTTTAGTTGTTACTGTGTGAGTGAAAACATGTAAACTCTCTGTTCACACATTTTGCTACCTTTTAGCAATACCATTTGTCGTGATTTAAGAGTAGTCATAGATTTATCTTTATTCATAATTTTTTGTCTTTTGCCCTTTTTCCCTTGCTCCAAAGAGTTCATTTTAATGATGAATGATCTAATTTAGGCTTCAGCTTGGTTTTTATTTAAACAAATAAAAAATCATTTGTTCATCAATGGGGATTGAATTTGTGATTTCAGCCTCTTCTTATACAGTGCTTTAACCATATGAGTTTATCACATCCAAGTTTATGCTACTCAAAACTTTTAAGCTATTAAACTTTTCCTGTTAATGTAATGTAAATGTAAACATCCAGCACTACTGCTTATTTTTAAAATGTTATGTTAAATTCTAGTTTATTTGATTAAAAAGCCATACACAACCAAGTTTTTTAGTTGATTTCAACAGCAAAAATATAAATGAGGGTTCCATAATAATATTTGAAGTAATGCAGCACAATAAAATATGGGTTTCTAAGTGTGCTTTTATGGTTTGTGTAGATTTTGCCTGCCTTAAGTCAGTCATTTCTGGTCAGGACTTGTGTTTGTTCATTTTTGCATTGCTATAAAGACATACCTGAGTCTGGGTAATTTATTTTTTAAAAAAGTTTAATTGGCTCCTAGTTCTACAGGTTTTACTAGCATAGCTTCAACACCTGCTTCTGCTGAGGGCCTCACCAAGCTTACAATTATAATGGAAGGCAAGGAGAGCAAGTGGTTTCACATGAGAGAGGGAGCAACGGAGAGGGGAAGGGGGAAGGTGCCACACTCTTAACTAGCTCTTATGTAAATTACCAGAATGAGAATTTGCTCACTATTGTGAGGATGGCACCAAGCCATTCATAAGGAATCCACCGCCATTACCCAAACACTTCCCAGGAGGCTCTGTCTCCAACATTGAGGGTCACATTCTCATATGAGATCTGGAGTGGGGGGAAATACCTAAACCATATCAGAATTGTATTTATCAGTTTCTTCCAGAGCCATGGGCTTCTCACAGAGTGTGTGGAAGCAGTGAAGGCTATTTCATGTCCCTCAAGTCTTCAGTGGTAGGAATGTTTGCCTTCAAGGCCTTCCAGCATCAAAGGAGGAGGCAGTGTAGGAAACAAACATGGCCCAAGTCCCTCTTGGAGCTTTTATTATTCTGGCCTTTGTTAGAAAAAAAAAAAAATGATTTCCTTTGCTGCAGATACTATGTCAAATTAAGTTTGCAAACTCATTTTAAAATTTAAATGTAAGATAGGTTACTTTCCAGTTGTGCAAAGACACATTTTTTTTGTTAGTGACATATTAGTTGATGACCAATAAGTGGTTTAAGATGCTTACAGGGATTCTGGTGCATCTGCAGATTTGTACCTGGCCAGGAACTAGTTCTTAGCGCTGCTAGCTCTTAGAGTCTGGTAATTAAAGTAACCCATGTGTAAACGCAGAGTGAGAAAATACCAATGAATCGTGGCTCATATATGCAACAGTTAAACTTATTAGTTAAATTTCTCATCTGGCTTAATTTGTTATGCCCATTTTTTTGTACATGAGGGTTATTTCATTTGACTGTTACATATATTCTCTCTCTCTCTATATATATATATATTTCACCCCCCTCCCTGAGACGGAGTCTTGCTCTGTCGCCCACAGCCGGAGTGCAATGGTGCAATCTTGACTCACTGCAACCTCCGCCTCCTGATTCAAGCAATTCTCCTGCCTCAGCCTCCCAAGTAGCTGGGATAACAGGCGCGTGCCACCATGCCTAGTTGTAAATGTAATAGAATATCTGTTAGGACAAAAAGTAAAGCCAAGTTTTTAGATTTTACTTTATGAGATTTATTATGCCCTATAATTTAAATTATAAACAGTTGGAAATTATTTTTAAATGTAATTTTGTCTCATTTTGCATAGGGATAATCAATCAGATGCTAGCAACTATTTTATTTTGTGATATTTGTACCAGAACTATTTTTTTTTATTCTTAGTTCAAGAAAAGAGAAAGAGCAGATGCACAAACCATGTAAGTAAATAGTCACAAAGTTAAGAAATTCATAGTTTGAAGGAAAATATTTCTATCTTGATTCCTTAAAAATAAAATGGGGACCCAGTGCTATTAGCATGGAACTCTCTTTGTGGACTTTGTAAATGCCTTCTATCTTTCCAAGTATCAGATTTATGCAGAAAAGTCTTTAGCTTAGTGTGTCCACCTTTTAAAGGATGTGACACGTAAGTTAAATTTTAAGAATCTGGTTGTGGTATAAAGGTCTTTATTTAATCTTAAAATAAATCAAACAACAAAATTAGAATAGCTAAGTTAATTTTCCACACTATCTATTGACTTTCTGGTATAGCAGGTAAAAGCACAGCTTTCCGGGTACACCATGATGTTATTTTTTCCCCACTGTTTTTTCCAATTGTAGCACATTTTTTATTAAATCAGTAATATTTACATGATTCTGCTTATACCAGTATTATTTACTGCTAAGTCATATGGTGTTTCAGCTGTGCATCTGCATTACATATCCTTCATTCATTTAAATGGTTCTGATATCTGAGCACTTCTGCACTTCTCCCAGATAATCCTTTTCCTCGCCTACATTAGTTTACCCAGCCAAATGCTGGCTGTTAATGTAATATAAATTTAAACATCCAGTACTACTGCTTATTTTTAAAATGTTATGTTAAATCCTAGTTTATTTGATTAAAAAGCCATATACAACCATGTTTTTTAGTTGATTTCAACAGCAAGAATATAAATGAGGGTTCTATAATAATATAGTAATAATAGTAATAAGTAGCCCCGGGCTGGTCTCTCTGCTTTCACATCCTGTAATTTTTAGCATAGAATTAATTGTCTGACTATATTCATTTGCCTGTTCTCTAACAGTTATTCTTACCCCAAGTGTTGTAACATTTGTCACATGCATATCAAAAATATTCATCAGCTCAAATACATCTGTTTTATATTTCTCTTAGGGCAACTTTCCTTGGCCTTTTGTCATCCAAGTTCAATGTACAGTGGCTTTCCTAGATATGCTACATGCTTGCTTTTCTAAGCTATCTCTTGAAAGTCTTCTGAGATCTCACATAACTGCTCTCCTCTGTGAGATTCCCTGAGTCTTAGATTCTGTATTTCCTTCTGCCTTGTTATCCTCACTAGTTGTACTAGAGCACATTTTCCTAGGCACCTGGGAATATGTTGAGAGACCCAGCCAGTCTTAAAACCCTTCCTCGTTGATACAGAATAAAATTTTAGGTTGAAACTAAATGTTACAGTTCTAAAGGTATTTTGTAATTCTGTTCTCATTATAGTATTGTTTTTTAATCTGTTGCCATTGTGTGATACATTATTTGTAACCAGGTTTTACATATCTCTAGAAGCTTTTTAGGACCTTCTTTCTCTCTGGGATTCTGAAATTTTATAATACAGCTTGGTGTGGGGATCTTTTCCCTTTACTGGGGCTACTAAGTCTTCAGATTATCTCTTCGAGAGAATTTCTTTTCTTCTCCATTTTCTCTATTACTTTTTTTTTATATTCTTTTTATTCAGATGCTGGGCTGCTTAGACTCGTGTATCCACATTGGTTTTTAATCCTCCCACTCCCTCCTATTTTCCAGTTTGTCTTTTCATTCTACTTCTTGGATATTTTTTACTTTATACTTTAATATTTCTCTTGTTACTCTTGTTGAGAGTATTTTTTTTTAAGTTTTGCTTCTGAATTTTTACTGGTCCCATGCATTATTTTTTCCTGTTGTTTTGATCTCTCTTGTATGGTGGTCCTTGACTTTCACTGGAAGCAAGACTTCTGTTCACTAAGGAGAGTCACTGTGAAATTTTGGAAATGAAGCCAGCATTTCATCTGGGGGATTTCAGTGTATTATCTGGGGATCTTTACTCTGGGACCATTCAGTTCCTTCTGAGAAGGATCTCCCAGTTTTCTGCCTGGGATGTAAAAGCATGGCTACTTGCTTTCCAGAAGCAGAGGTGGAGTTCTGCTTCTTGATGTACAGTTTTTTCCATCTGTCAGGTTTTAGCTATGGTATCTCCCAGCCCAGAAATTTCAGCTTTTATATATCCAGAGAACACACATTTAAATTCCTTGTAAGATGGAAGGACAGGTGGACTTGGGGCTCTAACCACAGATTTTCAACTGACCTCACTGGCTTTTATTTTATGTTTCAACCTACTTTCAAAGGTGCCATTTCCCTCTAAGTTGAAGTCTGCCTTGGGTTCTGGAAGACAAACTGGCTTGCTTGTTTCTGTTCCAGTCACTTCTTGTAGGCACCAAAGTTGTGCTACCATGCCAGACACCACTCCATTATCTACTTTTTATAATTCAGCATTTATTAAAAATCATCACTGTCAATCTTCTCTATTGGTCCTGCATATAACTTTTATGAGTAATTCTAATGAGATTTCAGGAGGGAGAGGGAATAAATTTATGGTCAATCTATTATATTTAACCCAAATTTATGACCTATATTTAAAGTGTAAATTATAATTTAATTTCAGTATAATTAATATTAATCCAGAGAATTTAACATATATATTTATAATAAACTTATTACACTTTTCTACCAAGGCCTTTTAAAATTTTCTTTTTATTTCTGAGACAAGGTCTTACTCTTTCATTCAGGCTGAAGTGCAGTGGTGCAATCTCACCTCACTGCAACCTCCATGTCCCAGGTTCAAGTGATTCTCCCACCTCTAGTCTCCTGAGTAACTGGGATTACAGGTGCCCACCACCATACCTGGCTAAATTTTAGTAGAGACAGGGTTTCACCAAGTTAGCCAGGTAGGTCTCTGACTCCTGACCTCGAGTGATCTGCCTGCCTTGACCTCTCAAAGTGCTGAGATTATAGGTGTGAGCCACTGTGGCAGGCCTTTGTTTAGTATTCCTATTCAAATTTTATACCCTGCCATATTGTTCCATTACTTCATACTATAAATGGAGCTGTTTTCATTCATGTCCAAAGTGTTGGAAATATTAAATTAAAATGTGTTCATTTTTAGCCTGATCAACATAGCAAGACTGCATGTCTACAAAAACGTTAAAAAAAACAAATTAGCCAGGCATGGTGGCATGTGCCTGTTGTCTTACCTACTCAGCAGACTAAGGCAGAGGATTACTTGAGCCCAGGAGTTTGAGGCTGCTGTTAGCTCTGATTGTACCACTGCACTCCAGCCTGGGCAGCAAAGTGAGACCCTGTCTCAAAAAAAAAAAAAAAAAAAAAAAAAAAAAAAAAAAAAAAAAAAAGTTAATTCTTTAAAAACGTACCTAAAATTTGTCCTCCCAAAAAGCAGAGAGACAAAAGTAAACTTCAGAATTTTCTTTTTTTTTTTTTTTTTTTTTTTTTTTTTTTTGAGACGGAGTCTCACGCTGTTGCCCAGGCTGGAGTGCAGTGGCGCGATCTCGGCTCACTGCAAGCTCCGCCTCCCGGGTTCCCGCCATTCTCCTGCCTCAGCCTCCTGAGTAGCTGGGACTACAGGCGCCCGCCACCGCGCCCGGCTAATTTTTTGTATTTTTAGTAGAGACGGGGTTTCACTGTGGTCTCGATCTCCTGACCTTGTGATCCGCCCGCCTCAGCCTCCCAAAGTGCTGGGATTACAGGCTTGAGCCACCGCGCCCGGCCCAGAATTTTCAATGGGCTAAAACAAAAGGCAACAGGTACAATGAAAAAAAAGTCAGTATAGGAGTTCAACAGATACTGGACCTTTGATGGTGATGTTTTGGTTTTGGCTTACTAAACTATGAGGTATGATGATTTTCTAGTCTTCGTTATTCAACCTTAAGACTACTAAGTAACACCTTCCATTTTGTGTTAAAGTTTGCAAAATTTTACATTCTTGGTATTTATGCTGACTGAATGAAGATAATTTGTTCCTTTCTAGCTTTGACTACCTGAAATAATACCTATAAACAGTAAGCTGTTAGTGTCTTTGATATAATTAAATATAGTAAGATTTATCTTCCAAATTGGAACTGATTTAATTAATTTGTCAAGCACCTGTTGAACTTCTAAACTTGTCCAAAATTCTGTGCTCAGCATCTCCAGGTAGAGAGGAAAGGACTCTCCCTTCCTTGGAAAGACCTATTTTCTTATGAGGGGAGTACTCTGTAAGAATTGGTATCATGTAACGAGTCGTGAATTAGACTGACTAGTTTACAAAAATGGAAATATTTTGTGGTGTGGTTGCTGGCAAAGGAATCTCAGAGGGTGAATGGGGTCATGCTTGCTGGGACAAAGAAAAAGAATCCTAGGCAGAGAGCAGCAGGAAAATGTGTGGCAGGAAAATGTGTACAAGCAGGTCAAATGACTTGTAGAATAAAATGAATCAACTTTTGAAAGAGTGTTATTTGTTTTTCCATTCATGAGAGTGATGTCCTGGCAGTCTTATTGAAACATGAAGTGAAAGTTAAATTCCTAGAGTTGTCTTTGTTATCTGTTTTCGGGGTGTGAGATAATATTAAAGTGAGAGTCTTTTTATCTTCCATGTAAGAAAACAGGACTAGAGAATGCTATGACTTTCTCTATTGTTGGTTATGGAGCAGCACTGGCACACAGAGCTTCTGAATCTAAAACACTTGTTTTGTCCCACTGTCTCCTGGAAGATTACATTTAGGATTAGTAACTTAGTAATGTAGCATTAATCTTCATTCATTGCAATAAAATGCTCTTGTGCCAATATTATTTAACGCATTACAGTTTATTGTAGTAGGTAAATAATAGAAAATCTCAGCTGCTTTACATTGCTTTAAAAACACTGAAATCTTAGACATTTCTCATTATTTATAAAGGAGAATTCACAATAGACGCTTGCCAGGTCTGATGATAGGTATCATATTAAGGGTAGCCTTTTATAACCCATTTCTCAAACATCCTCTGTTGAATTTAAGAGCCTCCAATGGGTTTCCCATGGAGTGCACATGATTCCACACTCAGTTCACGAAGTATAAGAAGTACCTTAGTACTTTGTCATTTGACATTTTAATCAATGGGAAAAAATACACTTTTATCAGTTTAACTTACTGTGATATTTTCTTCTATTTCCCTTCCCCTTCAGCTATCTACTAAGCCTTTAACTACAAAGTACAGCTCGTGTTCAACCATATACTTAGATGACAGCACAGTCAGCCAGCCTCATTTTACAACCACAATAAAATCGTGAGTACAACTATGAAGTCAAGGGACACAGCCCCTTTTTCTAAAATCATCCCAGCCATCCTCAGTTATTTCAGTCATTTGATTGTCTTTTTCAGCAATCAGTCTAAGAAACTGTTGTCAACTATATATTGATTTCCAATTCTAAATATTAATTTTCAAAAACTATTAATTTTCAGTTTCTCCTTTAACTTTAGACTTCACATTGGAAGGGAAAATTGGTTAGCAAATAATCAATCTGTGGAAAAGTGTAGTTATTTATTTGATGCTTTTTTGCCTTCTGACAATGTTGAATACAATGAGTAGGATAGGTGTCCTTTATAGGACATTCCCCCCCCAAAAAAAGGGGTTTTTTATGAGTTACAGGCCTAAATAAATCAATATGAACTACTTTTGACATTAATCTTGGAAGAAGGAACAACTGTTTCTCTACTGGCACCGTAGTGTATCTGCATTTGACTTCCCTTCATTTTGCATGAACACCTCATAGGGCACAACTGAAGATGCACTTTTAGAACAACCTAAGATGAGCCTTTCAAGCTTATTTTAAAAGCAACAAAACCACCACCAGCTCTGTTGGGGTTGCCTAGAGAACATCATTATCATCGGCTTGGATTATGAGTGTTTAATTTTTAGAACACAGTTTTAGAACACAGTTTGGAAAGTGCTAATTTAGAATATTAACGTCTTTATCTTTCATTTTACTTCTTTTCCTTCATAAGAGGATGGTTGTCAGTTTTACTTTTCATTCTATAAACATAGCTGCTTATAAACAATTTTGTTTCTAATGCACTAGCTTTCCTAGCCAAACCAGTTGTCAGTAACTTCTATTCTAATTAAAAGTAGGAAGTTTACACTCATAATAATGCCATTTTTCTATCTCACTTATAACAGTGGTTGAGATAAAATTGTGTTTCATCAAGAACTTGACTCAAACTCTGTCTAAAGTCTTAAGCTTTGTGACCTATTAATTAATCACTAAACTTCTGTATTCAGCCAAGTCTCTAAATCCTTGGGGAAAAAAAAAATTGCTGTACTTTGGCTAGAGTCCCTGGCTTCTATTCAAAAGATTGTAATATGTTAATATACAATTCAGAAGTAGTTTTAAAGATTAATCCTGCTCAAACAAGTATTAATAAATTTTATCTTTTTTCTCCATCATTCTAATTTTTAGAATTCTACTTTAAGTGTAGTTTTAATTTTCTGTCAGCAAGTTTGATAAATGATCACCTGGTATATTCACTATTGGTAAAATAAAGGTTTATTGAGCAAATTAATAGGACAAAGTGGGTTTATGAACAGATTTTGGAAAATGTTTTATACAGGTGAGTAGAGCATTGTTCTCAATGGAATGCATGGACCACATTAGATTACTTAAGCAAGTTTTCTTAAAATGTATGTCTGCAATCACATGCTTCTTCCTACCTCCACCTCTCTTTCAACTCTAGGCACTCAGAAGCCTTTTAAGAAAATAGGGATGAATGTGAGGCATTCTTCTATGGATAAAAGCATCTCAGAAGGTTCTGATTTGAACGCCAACTCAATCATTCCAAAACCCTGCTGTACATTCGAATCACTTGGGACATTTTAACAACAACCCGATGTTCAAGTTATACACAATGCTAATTAAATCAAAATGTTTCATGTTAAAAAGAAGGCAGTTTTTAAAGCTCCTCAGTTGATTCCAATGTGTAGCAAAGTTCGAGAGCCACTGCCTGATTTGAATTTAGGTCAACAAACTGCTCCTATGTGGTGGGACATTGGGCAAGTCAATTTTAAACATTGTTTTTCTTATCTATAAAATGGTGTTGGAGTAAATGTCATTTAGATCCTTGGTCCTTTTCAGCAGGTAACTTCAAATTCTGTTATTTTAAAATTATTTTAGAGATTAAAAACTTCTTGAAGCACTATAGACATAGCCATCTTAGATACTAATGTTACAAGCTTTTTAAAAAGTGCTAATATTATATAGGCCTACTGTTAAAATTCAGATTTGCCTTCCTTCAATTATTTGAGCCTCATTTTAGATGTTGTGGGCAGATGGAAAAACATAACTTATGTTTCCTGATACACAGTGTCTGTAGATAAGAATTATGTAACATATATCTGAAGAGTTTTATTTGTTCGTAAATATTTCATTTAAACTAATTGAAAGTACCTGCCCTTAATATGATACTGTGTAGTGCTATGCTGCATTATCGTTAGCACTGCTTATTTTCAGAGAGCTATGATTGATTTTGTGTGTACTTAGGTTTACTAACATTAATTACGCAAAAGTGGTTTTAAGTGATTTAATTTGGTATAAAACACTTTTATCATTAATTTTTAGGAAATAATAAAATATGGGTGGGTAGGAGATAGTTAATTAAATCAACTAAAGTGCAGGGCCTAACAACTTTAAAAAAGCACTAGTATATGTCTTAAATTTAAGCATATGTACAAATGGGTATAAATTGCATAGGATGAAAGGTTTTGTGGGTAGAAGAACATGTAACAGGGAAATATGTTATGATTTATATATTATAATCATCAACAGAAACATGTCTTCTAACAGTATATTGCCTAGCATTTTGATCCTCATATTTTTGTTAAAAACCAAAAAACTAAAACAAGAATATAGTGCCCTAATAGTAGTGTTCTGAAGTAAAAGATTTAAATTTCAGAGCCACTGGGATAATTTCTTCCTCCTCCCTTTTTAAAAAAGTTTTTAGACCCAACAAATGATAAAATCTATTGTTATGATTTTTTCTCTTTCTATAGTGTGGCCTTAGCAATATATTATCACATGAAGAAAAGGTGAGCTCTTTTAAAATCTTTCTTGTTATTCCAATTGATTACATTTTATAATATCAAGTTCAGTGTTAGTTCATAGCTATAGACGTCATCAGCTGTATTGTGCCTACTAAAATATTGAAGCAGATTATTTGTGTTTTCTTTTACCCTTAAGACTCTTTTAAGTCCTAACTCACTGAGAATCCCAAAGAATCTGTGTTTATATACTGTGTAAGAAATTAAAATCGAGATCTTTTAAAAATCTGTTTCTGGTTTAGATTTTACTACCTTAGCACTATTGATATTTTGAGCTAGATAATGCTTTGTTTTGAGGAAATAAATGCTCTTTATTGGTGCATTGCAGAAAGTTTAGTAGCATTGATGGTTTTTACCCACTAGATGTCAGTAGTAAGCAATAACGTAGGTTGTGACGACAAAAATATTTTCTGAGAACTATATCGCTAACATAAATAACATTTTTTAAAGAAAAATAACTTCTCTACAATAAAAAGTAGAGTAAAAAGTGTGTCACATATTGATATTATTGCAAACCTCTAAAGTTTGGCGTAATAGAAGACAGCTGTATTCTCCGCAATTTTTTTAGAGAAGCAATAAGATGATCAAGCTTCATGCAACTACCAAAAGATATATCTTTAAAGCTTTTAGATAATTGTGAGTGTTCTTTAATACTACCTCAAAACTCCACAAGTGCTCGTTTCTTAGTTACAGGGGAATTTTACATATCAATACATTTATTTCATCAATACTCACTGATTTTTCTTGCACAGTAAATGGGTCTTCTTCCCATGCTTGCTTGTATAATAGTACGCATTGGTTATTTGGGAAATAATGGTTTATGTCTTGTTGTGTCAAAAACTCACTTTTGTTAGTATCACCATGTCTTATTAAAAGTTCTTTAAGTACTGAGAAGCTGTCAAGTTTACAGTAGAAGAAGTGTGTTTTCCAAAGTTCTGGTTTTCAGCTTGAAAGCTTGACTATTATCATTGAGAACAGTTATTCTCTTTTTTAGTTTAGATTTTATATTAAGTTCATGGGTGTGTGCGCAGGTTTGTTACCTAGGTAAACTTGTGTCATGGGGATTTGTTGTACATATTATTTCATTGCCCAGGTATTAAGCCTAGTACCCAGTAGTTATTTTTTCTGATCCTCTTCCTCTTCTCACCTTCCATCGTCCAAAAGATTTTAGTGTGTGTTGTTCCCCTCTATGTGTTAATGTGTTTCCATCATTTAGCTCTCATCAATGGGAACATGTGATATTTGGTTTTCTATTCTTGTGTTAGTTTGCTAAGGATAATGGCCTCCAGCTCCATTCATATTCCTGCAAAGGACATGATCTTGTTCTTTTTATGACTGCATAGTATTCCATGGTATATGTATACCACATTTTCTTTATCCAGTCTAACATTGATGGGCATTTATGTTGATTCTATATCTTTGCTTTTGTGAATAGTGCTACAGTAAGACTATGGGTGCATGTGACTTTATAATAGAATGATTTATATTCTTTTAGGTATATAGTCAGAAACGGGATTGGTCGGTTGAATGGTAATTCTGTCTGTAGGTCTTTGGGGAATCTCCAGACTATCTTCCACAATGGTTGAACTAATTTACACTTTCACCAGTAGGGGAACACTTATTTTCCATGATGTAAAAGGCTCACTTTATTCATTTTTGAGAATGATAGTTGTTTTACCTTTAAGTAAAAACAACATTTTATTTTAAAAAGTGATTATTCAGTTTACATTTAAATCACCAGTTCTTTTTCTTAACAACCATACTGCAGTTAGAAGAAGTGCTTCTTGTTAACTTTCCACTTTTTCAGAGTATTAAATAGGAAGGTCAAGATTTAATAATACCATTAATTTTTACTGCTTCATCAAAGACATTCTTAACTAAATCAGACTCTCTTTTTTAACTGTAAGGGGCTGTGGAGAATAGAATGACTACTAGTGTAATTTGGTCACCTTGATTTATGCTGAGAAACCAGCTATTTCACCCACTTGCTTTTATAAAATCATGGCAAGTGTCAAACAGTGAGAAAGCAGGCAATGCCTTCATTTCCTTTTAAAAATTATTTTATTTTTTGTGTTTAATCAGCTTTCTCAGGCTGAATTAGTATTTTTATCAGAATAGTTTTGGCTGCTTGGGCCTCATGAAAAATGGTGTAGGGGATCTCCAGAGGTCCACAGAGCACATTGCAAGAACCATTGGTTTCTTATACAGGCAAAATGTATTCGCTGTATTAACCTCTTAAATTCATCAAAGACTGGCCTACTTCAAAATAAAAAAACAGATAAGTTTTTAATTCAAGCTACTTAAATAAATATATCATGAGAATCTAATACCGAGAAAATGATAATAAAGAGAATTATACTATTATCAGTAATTGATAGTCATTATTATATTAATACTTTTTAATTAGTAATTATTAAGAGAAAAAGACTACAAAAATCTGAAACGCATTCACATTTATCTATTTATTTATTTATTTATTTATTTATTGAGACGGAGTCTCGTCCTGTCAGTAGGCTGGAGTGCAGTGGCACGATCTCGGCTCACTGCAACCTCCACCTCCCAGGTTCAAGTGATTCTCCTGTCTCAGCCTCCTGAGTAACTGGGACTACAGGCGCATGCCACCATGCCCAGCTGGTGTGTGTGTGTGTGTGTGTGTGTGTGTGTGTGTGTTTGTCGTAGAGATGTTTCACTATGTTGGCTAGGATGGTCTCGATCTCCTGACCTCGTGATCTGCCCGCCTCGGCCTCGCAAAGTGCTGGGATTAAGGCGTGAGCCGCCGCACTCAACCATATTCACTTTTATTTAAGTTCTAAATACTTTATTGCCCATTACTACTGCTTTCTAAAACATTCTTGTGTTCCAATGTCAGGTTAGAGGAGTGAAAAATATAACAGGTTCATTACCATGGCCTGTTAGGAAGGGTCAGTACTTACTGGCAATTCTGACTGGTTACTGTAATAAAAGACTTCACAGGACTTGATGTGCTGAGTGGTAAGAGTCCAGGAGACCCTCTGAAGGTCAGGCTCCAAGAGAAGGATTTGTAAAACGGTTTGCCTTGGTGAAGCAAACACCAAAGCACACAGGAGGCATTATTTTACTAAACAGATATTTTACTAAGATATTAATCATTTCTGAATTAATTTCTTAAATGCCCATTTTTACTTTATAGAGATGCAGATAAATCCCTCGATATATTTGACGAGCAATTACATCCACTTGCTGTAAGTGTCACTTTTATTGAGGCCGTATGTCCTTATAGACTTGTGTTTGTTTCATGCTGAAGTCAAAGGACATTTTTAAGTCTTCTTCCCCATGCCATGTTGCATCTAATCATCTTATTAAAGAAGTGTTATAAAAAGGATGTGCTGGAATAAGAAATGACCTGCAGCTCTGGTTAATTAGTGAGCTAATAAGAGTAAATACATAATCCAAATAACAGAAAATGTATCTTTTAAAAAGATAATTGTCAGTAGCATCAAACGATATAAATTTTTGTAAATGCCTTTAACACATATACATGATTTCTGTGAATAGAAATAAAAAAATTTAAATTTAAATAAATGGTGTGCAAATTAAAAGATGTACTTCCTCAGGTACATAATAGCCACATGTGGCTAGTGACCATTGTATTGAATGGTGCAGCCTTAGAGCCTTATGGTTACAGAAAACTAAACGTGTTTTTTCAAAGTTTATTGCAGAGAAGAATGAATTATTGTAAGACTTTAAAGCCTAAAAGCAGTTTACATTTTTATAGAATTCTGTGGGAAAAAGAGTAGAAAGGAACATAAAAATTCTCTGAGCTTCAGCCCATTTTTTTCACTGAATGTTGATGAGTATTGAATCATTGTGGTATCTTAAGATCCCACTGTTCATATTTTAGAAACTAAAAAGACATCTCCCCAATCCAAATTGTTCTAAATGACACATAGGCATAAGTATGAATACTGCTGTGTTAAGAATACTTCATTTTTTTTTCCAATGGATACTTATCACATCCTTTCTTCTTTCAGCGAGGAAAGATGCCAAAGGAATACTTTGAGTGTGTTCCTAAACACAAGTTTATTTACAGATTCGTCCATGTTCTTTTTAAAGCCACAAACCTAACAGCTGAATTTGCAATAGTAACTTTGGTAAGATATTTCTTATTTATAAAATATTTTTAGAAGTTGGTATTTGTATACAGGGTATGGTGCTGTTTTTAAATAAAAGTTGGCTTTTGGGCCGGACATGGTGGCTCACACCTGCAATTTCAACACTTTGGGGGAGGCTGAGGCGGGTCGATCACCTGAGGTCAGGAGTTCGAGACTAGCCTGGCCAACATGGCGAAAACCCATCTCTACTAAAATTACAAAAATTAGCCAGGTGTGGTGGTGGGTGCCTGTAATCCCAGCTACTCAGGAGGCTGAGGCAGGAGAATCGCTTGAACCCGGGAGGCAGAGGTTGCAGTGAACCAGCCTGGGTGACAGATCAAGATTCTGTCTCAAAACAAAAACAAAAACAAACAAACAAAACGTTGGCTTCTGAAATTATTATCCAAACTTTAAGAGAAACTTATGAAAGCAAAGTAAAACACACATTCGAATTGAATCATCATTATGGCTTACAGTGTTGCCATTGCATTTTTCATAATAGAACCATTGCTATTAAAAGCAGCAGGAGAGATTCCTGATTTCTCCCCACACACTTCAGTGCAAATGCAGTGTGCGCACATGCAAGGCCAGCGGAGGTGTTGGGATGGGGAGCAGTAACAAAATCATCCGGTCCATGGGCAGAGACGGATTCCAGTGGAGCTCTGAGTTGAGTCTCAGGCTGTATTCCTCAGGCAGTTCTCATGCAGGCTGTGATTGAGAGCTGCTGCCCTGTCATCTTTGTTCCTTGGGCAATGAGTCTTAATCTACCCCTGCTGATCACTTGTGCCTGCCCAGGAATGTGGTTCCAGTAGGCCTGGGACACAAGCTTTGCTCGTTAGTCTTCCAAGCCATAGCTGTTTCCTTACATTTACATGATGCCTACAAAATTCCTATTGTAAAAATGTCATTTTGAATAATAAATTCTATTCAAATTGTTGAAATTGTTTTGCTTCTCTTCACAGCAAACCTATAGAGGAAACTCAACTGCATGGCTGGGAAGGAAAGAATACTTAGGTCAATACTTATTTACCATCCAATTAGAGTTTAGAAGAGAAGGCTTCTGATGTGCGCTTGAATCAAAGCCCTCAATGGGTGCTGGACCAGACAGAGGCCTTTTCAAGGAGCTGCAAGTCATTTGCAACTCTTAGCACATGCTGGAGGGAAGCAGGAGTGGTGCTTCCAGTTTTAGAGAGAGAGGTGATGCTGGAGGGAAAGCTGGCTTGGAAAAGGGAGAGATTTGTACTCAGGCTAAGCTAGATGTGCCTTTTAGATGGCAGAGTAGCAGTGTCTAGTCATCATTTGGATATAAGGGACTAGAGCATGAATTTGAGGTAGAGATGCAGAATGAAGAGTAATAGCAACTCTTCAAATGCAGAGTAAGTGTGTAGAATAAAATTGGCCAAGCCAGGTATGGTGGGTTCATGGCTTTAGTCCCAGCTACTGGGCAGGCTGAGCTGGGGGAGATTACTTGAGCCCAGTAGTTTGAGTCCAGCCTAGGCCACATGGTGAGAACCTGTATCTTAAGAAAAGAAAAAATAAAGCCAGGTGTGGTGGCTCACCCTTGTAATTCCAGCACTGTGGGAGACCATGACAAGAGTATTGCTTGAGCTTAGGAGTTCAAGAATAGCCTTGGCAATAAGGTGAGGCCCCATCTCTATTAAAAAAAAGAAAGAAATTAGCCGGTCATTGTGGCACATGCCTGTGGCCCCAGGTACATGGTAGACTGAGGCAAGGAGATTATTTGAGCCAGGAGATGGAGAATGCAGCGAATCATGATCATGCCACTGCACTGCAGCTCGGGCAACAAAGTTAGACCCTGTCTTTAAATAGATAAAGAAAATTGACAGATGATAGATCTGTAAGGACTTATAGTGAGTAAAGGACAAGCCCCCAGAGGAGTAGCTACTAGGGTGGGAGGAGGAAAAGCAGGAGAGGATATTAAAAGACTTAAAAGAGGCCATGGTCACAGTGCTGAATGCTGCTGAGAAGTGACTCATTTCATAAACACTCACTGGATGTTGACTCTATGGCACTCTTCTAAGTGCTGGGGTAGAAGGCAGAACAGGCTGAACACAGTTCTTGCCTTTATGAGCTTATGTTCTAGTGAGAGACAAGTAGTTTTTTCAGGTAGTGTCAAATATCAGGAAGAGGAAGCAGGATGAAGGGATTCAGAGTGTTGGGGTGCTCAGTACTTTAGATAGAATGATAAGGAAGAGTCTCTCTAGGGAGCCAACATTTGAACAGTGACCTGACCAAAGCAACAAAGGGAAGGAGTGCTGTCATTATAGGCAGCAGAGACAGGAACGTGTATCACATGTGTTCACAGAACAAACAGCAAGGTGACCAGTGTGGTCAGAGTGAGGAATAAGAGAAGCAGTAGAGATAAGACCACACAGGCAGGGCCATAGCTCACAGGCCCTTTTGGCTTCAGGCCATAGGAAGATGTTAAGGTTTTATTCCAGTTTGATAGGGGACTCATGTAGATCTTCAGCAGGGAAGTGAGTGCTGTAAATAAAGAGGCTAGGCTATGGTGACTGCTTTGGGGAAAGTAAGTCATGGTTGGGAGGCAGATTGGAGGCAGAGAAGAGGGCTAAAAAGCAATTAGAGTGATACAGGTGAGCAATGAGAGATTGTGGCTCATAATCAACCCAAGCAGACTACCAGTGAAGGCAGACATAACAGGCATTGGAGACAGATTGCAGAAGAGTAACTCAAAGGCAGGTACTTGGCAGATGGCAGTGTCCTGTACACGATTAGAAAAGGCTTATAGAGTTGACTGTTGGGCTGGAGACTTCCAATTTGTAAGTGTGAGGGCACCAGAAACCTAGGCAAGAGAACTGTTGGAAGAGCAATGTCAGTGGGGCAGGCAGTGTACATTAAGGAGAGATGGAAGATGAGGAGCTGGCATGAGTGCATGGTGCTGTGAGCACCAATGAGAGGACACAGCTGGAGTAGCGGGGAATGAGATGGGAACAAAGGAACAGTTAGATTGGGGGAAATCGCTAGTAGAGAGGCATAAAATCTTCAAAAAGAGTTGATTGTAGGAACAGTGTTCTGCAAAAGTGGGATGGGATCAACTGCACTGAGAAGAGTTGGCATCAGTGGGGAAAAAGAATTCTGTGTCACACTGACCCAGGAGGAAAAATACCGATGAGTGAGTGTCAGCTGGTCAACAGCTTAGCAGTAAGGCAACAGGAAGTTGAGGGCCTGCTAGTGTTGTTTGAGTGCTCTCTGATTCCTATACAGAGAGCGAGGTCCATTCTCAAAATACTTGAGAGTTTTGAGTTTGGGGGAAAGGGAGCAGAACCTCTGTAAAACATATCATGCTCAACAGCCATTTATTTTTGAAAACAGGTGAGTTTGGAGAACACTTGTACATCTGAGCTGACAATCACAACCTTCTGACAAGAAATAAACTCGTATAAAATAAAAGTTTTCCCTTTGTTTTGACATAAAGAGTTCAAGTAGCTCGCAGACATACTCTTCTGCAGAGCGCCCTCTGAGGTAACACCTCCTCACAGCTCGCCTTTAATCTTTACTCAGCTGTTCACTTTGCCCAATTCTTTGTAAAGCCCAATTCACTTTGCCCAATTCTTTGCGCTCATTCATGAGACTGTCTCACAAACTACTCGGCAGTCTTAGAGGAATCCTAGGGATGCAGAAACTGGCAGCTGTTTCCACCTTTAAACCAACAGAATTGACTACGTTGCAGAATGTAAGAGAGAATACATTTTCATGAAGTGATTATGAAAATGGGAAAATAGGGGCTGAGAGGAGGACCATTCTTTTATATACATGTGTTTTTTATCAAGCAACTGAATATTGGTAATGTTTTACAACCCCTTAGACCTGCACCTGCCATGCTGCTCTGCACAGCGGCCACTAGGAGGCTCTCTTGACCAGCAGTTTTTGAAGCTAGCACCACAAAAGCGTTAGTTTTTGTGAAAAGGAGATTAACATTTGGTCACTATCACATGGGTTTTACATATTCAAGCCTGACATACCTGTAGAATTTCTATCTACCTCCCAGCTAGGAGTGAGACATTACATGTGGTAGGCACTTGAGTATTTCCTGAACAACTTTAATCTACACTGGTCCTGTGTGTATGCTGCCTTTTATGAGTGTAAAGATGATGACACTGCCCCTCTTCATGATGGCATTGGCTGACATATGCAGGCATTCTTGTCACCAAAATTGGGCTGGAAATTCCCATAGGCAGAGTAGGCAGCAGAAGTATCTGACCTATGATTGTAATGTGGTCTCTTGCTTTGCCTGACCAAGCAAAGTCTGTAGAGTGTAAGAATAAAAGACACTTTCTGGTCAAAAGCAGAAGAAATCTGTCATTCAAAAGAGTTCTTATCACAGCACTTAAAGTGAACTAAATCAATGGCCAGTGCTCTATTTTGCAGATTTACACAGAAAGACTCTTAAGTTATGCTGAGATAGACCTTTGCCCGACCAACTGGAAGAGGATTGTCATAGGAGCCATTCTTCTCACCTCCAAAGTTTGGAAAGATGTGACTATATGGAATAGGGAATACTGCAAGCTCTTTGTGAATGCTAGCATTGAAGACATGTGAGTTTCTAAGGTTTTTGTGAACTTTCTAACCATTTTCATTACCTTATTTGCTCCCATAAATTTAACACTTTAAGACATATTTTTAAAGGCTACAGTATGCAGATAAGGAAAACACATAAAACCACATACTTCTTTCTATCCAGCTTTAGTATAAAAGTTCATATTTTTTCACTGTTAATGGGTAGGTCTTGGTGAGTTACTGTTGTAATAATCTGCTCTGCTCATAAGTATTTTTCTGGTGGTTTTTGGCAAATACTTCACAAGTGCACCACCAGAACAGCACAGTACAGTAAATATCTTATGGCTTTTTAGAAGCTGTCTGTAAGTTCCAGTCTCTTTTTAAGGGACACATGTCTGGCTGTTGAAATAATTGACCACTCTTAAGGTCTAGGGCCTCTGGATTATGGAGAAGTTATAGCCTCAGCCTCAGTCACACATTGTATATTTGCTTTTGCTGATGTTTTCTCCTTTTTATTTAAAAGTCTGTTTTTTATAGAAACCTTGAGATGCAGAATAGTCACAGATCCCCGTGCCCTCCCCATTAGGAATGTTGCATGTTTTTTTTTTTTTTTTTGAGACGGAGTCTCACGCTGTTGCCCAGGCTGGAGTGCAGTGGCGCGATCTCGGCTCACTGCAAGCTCCGCCTCCCGGGTTCCCGCCATTCTCCTGCCTCAGCCTCCTGAGTAGCTGGGACTACAGGCGCCCGCCACCGCGCCCGGCTAATTTTTTGTATTTTTAGTAGAGACGGGGTTTCACTGTGGTCTCGATCTCCTGACCTTGTGATCCGCCCGCCTCGGCCTCCCAAAGTGCTGGGATTACAGGCTTGAGCCACCGCCCCCGGCCAGGAATGTTGCATGTGTTTAGAAATTGGGTCAATGAGTTTGAAGCTCCAGTGTTTCCCTGAGACAGTATGCAAAAAATTGCCAGGGCATCACACAATGCCCACCACACTCAAGAGGCTCCTGAGGTACTCATGCAACCACAGCAGCAATTTGTGGGACTTGTGTTACCAAGGAGAGTGCAAGAAATCTTGCTGAGTCATGGGGTTGCTCATAGATGGTGCCAACATGATACTGAAACATGGGCTTTATGGGGGCTTTCTTCCAGTCTGGCCTTACGACTGTTGTAAAGGGAAGAGCCTTGGAGTTTGTAAGCGGGGTGAGCTAGGGAGGCATTTACAGCAAACACTCTAGCAGTATCCACAAGACAGTGAGAATAGCTATGTGGGTGACACTTAAGAAAATATAAAAGAACCCCTGTTGCGGTCATTTAGCAGCATGTGAAGATCAAGATCATGACAGGCAGTGGCAAGAGTTTGTTTTTTTACATTTGCCCATTACTCCAGATAAGACTGTCATGTAGAATGTATATGATCACAAAGGTGGAGCCTGATGGCTAATTAGAAGTCTCTGCCAATTGCTCTTCTCATAGGAATGACAAATTGAGTAACTATCTAAATAAAAAACACCTTTTATGAACTAAAAATAGCTAAATAATTATAGTACCTGGTTTAAACTTTCTATCACTGAAAAAGGCAGTGAACAGGGTAGGAAATACAGTCTTGAGTTGCTGATGCCAGCCCTCCCTTATGTCCTAGCGGTGGCCACGTGACAAGAAGAGAATCTGCATACTTGGGAGAGGGAGAGCACAGCAGTTGTGAGACTTTGCATTGAACTCAGTGCTGCATTGTCATAGCAGAAAGCAAAACTGGGCTGAACTCAGCCAGTGCCCACCCACGGATGGGACATTTCTAGTCCTAGCATGAAGGGAATCACCCATTCCAGTGGCTGAAACCTGAGTTGTGGAAAGCCTCACTGCTGTGGGATAAAGTACTCTGGGGTCCTTAATAAACTTGAAAGACTGTCTAGGCCACAAGGACTGCAACTCTTAGGCAAATCTGAGAGCAGAGCTGTGCTTGGAGCCAGTGTATTTGGGGGGCATGTAACCTAGAGAGACAGCAGCTGGTGCAGCTCAGGCAGTGCTGTACCACCCCTCCTTCAATCCTAGACAGCGTAGCTCGCAACTCTGACAGAGACCTCTTTCTTCTGCTTGAGAAGAGTAAAGAGGACTTTGTCTTGCAACTTGGATACTAGCTCAGCCACAGTAGGAGAGGGCACTGGTCAGAGTCATGAGGCTCCCATTTTGGGTCCTAGCTTTTGGATAATACCTCTAGACAAATTCTGGGCCATAAGGGAACCTGCTGCCTTGAAGGGAAGGACTCAGTAAGGGCAGGATTCTTTACTTTCTGACTAAAGAACTCTTGGACCCTGAATAATCAGCAGTGGCTAAGCAGGTAGGACATGTCACGGGTCTTTAGTGAGACTCAGAGATCTGCTGGCTTCATGTGTGACCCAGCACATTCCCGGCTCTGGAGGCTATGAGGAGAGACAAATTCTGCTTGAGAAAAGCCGAGGGAAGAGTACAGAGGACTTTGTCTTGAACTTAGACACCAGAGCAGCCACAGTGGAGAAAAGCACCAAGTGGCCTGTTAGGGGTCCCTGATTCAGGCCTTGGCTCTTGGATGGCATCTCTGGGCTTACCCTGGGCCAGAGATGAGCCCACTGCCCTGAGGAGTGAGTTCCAGGCCAGGCAGCATTCACCACAAGCTGACTGAGAGCCCTCGGGCCTTAATGAACATCAGTGGTGACATGGCAGTACACCCCATGGGATTGTGATGCTGGTGAACATGGGGACAGACTACTATGCCTGGGTAATGGGGAGGGAAGAGTGGAAAGGTGTTTGATGGTTTTAATGCCAGTTCAGTCACAGTAAAATAGAGTATCTAGTGATTTCTAAGGTTTATGACCCCAGGCCTAGCCCCTAGACAGCACCTCTGAACACATCCAGAGGCCGGGGGAACCTACTACACTTAAGCAAAGGACAGAAGGCTCTCTGGCTTCACTACCTGCTAACTGTAGAGCCTTGGGGCTTTGAGCAAAGTAGCCGGCAGCCAGGGAGTTGTTACAATAGGGTCCTTGGACAGTCACAGTGCTATGTGGGCTTCAGATCAGACCCAGTGCTGTCCCAGTTGTAGCAGCCACAGGGGAGCTCCAGGAAGCTTTGCACAGAGAGAGAAACTCTTTTTGTTTGGGGGAAAGTAAGAGAAGAAATGAGTCTCTGGCTGCTAATGCAGAGAATTCTTCCAGATCGAATCCAAGATCACTAATGTGCTACCTCTACATATCAGCAAGAACTAATGACATTCTTCATAGACATAGAAATAGAAAAGACAATCCTAAAATTTTTATGGAACCACAAAAGACACAGAATATTCAAAGCTATTCTCAGGAAAAAAACGAACAAACAAAACAGAAGGAGTCACATTGTTTGACTTCAAATGATACTCTACAACTATAGTAACCAGAACAGCATGACACTGGCATGAAAACAGATACATAGACCAATGAGACAGAAGACAGAACTCAGAAACAAATCCACATATCCACAGTGAACTCATTTTCAACAAAGATGCCAATAATATACAATGGGGAAAGGATGGTATCTTTAATAAATGATGCTGGGAAAACTGGATATCCATATGCAGAAGAATGAAACTAGTTTTTATCTTTACCTTATATAAAACTCAAATCAAAATGCATTGAATATTTAAATTTAAGACCTCAAACTATGAAACTAAAATAAAAGATTAGGAATATTCTTGAAGACATTGGACTGGAAAAAGATTTTTTAATACTCCATAAGCACATGCAACCAAAACAAAAATGGGCAAATGAAGTCACATCAAGTTAAAAAACTTATGCAAAGCAAAGGAAACAACAAAGTGAAGAGACAACCCACATTCTGGGAAAAGATATTTGCAAACTATCTGTCAAGAGATTAATTACCAGAATATATGAGAAGTGCAAACAACTCTGTGAGAAAAAAACTAATAATCCGATTTTTAAATGGCCAAAAGATCTGAATAGACATTTCTCAAAAGAAGATGCATTAGCTGCTGATGGCAAATGCTTCTGGTTCCTGCTGCAAGGGAGTTCTAGGCCGGAAAATTACCTGACCTCAGAAGGTCAAGCCTGTGGTGAGCTGTGATTGTGCCACTCTCCAACCTGGTGATAGAGTGAGACTCCGTTTCAAAACTTTAAAAAAATACATACAAATGGCAAACAGATACATGAAAAGATACTCAGCATTATTAATCATCAGAGAAATTCAAACCAACACTACAGTGAGAGATCCATCTCACCTCACTTAGAATTACTTTTATCCAAAAGACACGCAATTAACAAATGCTGGCAAGGATATGGGAAAAAGGGAAACCTTGTACACTGTTAGTGGGAATGTAAATTAGTACAACCCCTATGGAGAACAATTTGGGGGTCCTCAAAACTAAAAACAGAGCTACAATATGATCCAGCAATCCCGCTACTGGGTATATACCCAAAATAAAGGAAATCAGTATATCAAAGAGACACCTGCACTCTCATGTATGTTGCAGTACTATTTACAATAGCCAAGATTTAGAAGCATCCCGAGTGTCCATCAACAGATGAGTGGATAAAGAAAAGGTACATGTACACAATGGAATACTATTCAGCCTTAAAAAATAATGAGATTCTGTTATTTGCAACAACAACATGGATGGAAATGGAGTATAATGAAATAGAGTATTAACTCATTGTGTTAAGTGAAATAGCCCATGTTCTCACTTTTTATGGGAGTTAAATGTTGAAACAATTTTACTTGTGGAGATAGACAGTAGAAGAATTGTTACCAGGGACTGGTAAAGGTAGTATGGGGGATGGGGAGTAAGAGGTAATTGTTAATGGGTACAAAAATGTATTTCGAATAAGATGTAGTATTTGATAGCACAACAGGGTGACTCTAGTAATTATTTAATTGTACATTTAACAACAATGAAAAGATTATAATTTGATTATTTGTAACACAAAGGAGAAATGTGTGATGGATACTTCATTTACCTTGGTAGGATTAGTACACATCGTTGGCCTGTATCAAAATATCCAATATACCCTATGAATATATAAAGCTATAATGTATGCACAATTTTTTAAAAAGACTGTCATTCAGAATTACTACACTGTATGTATACAACTGAAGTGAGGATGTTGTGACTAAGAAAAGACTAGTGACTGTTGGTTGCTGTTGAAATGGCTGTTGGTGAAAATGACCACTTCATTGATAGTATAAACGGGTGGTGATGGTGATGTTGCTAGTAGCCATTTTAGCAAAAGATGTGGCAGAAAATGAATTTGAAACAATTAGAAGTACTTTGAAAGTTGCAGACACTAAACTGACTTTGATCACTACCGTCATCAGTCTGCAGACTGATTTCTCAAAGGAAACGAAATTTGTAATTATGAACACTTAGCTCTGCTATAACTGTGGCTAAATTATTCTCAAAACTTGCAACTAAACTGGCTGGGCTCTAGTTCTAGTTACAAGGTCAAGGAATATGCAAGTTCCCACAGATGTGAGGTCCAGGAGCAGTGGTGGTAAAGGCCGGCTGTAAGAAAACCAATTCTACGCAATTCTGTTTGTGAATGCGGAAACACCAGAAGCAATGCTCTGAAAAGGCTGCTTTTGTTCATGATCTTTGGAAACTGGAAAGCATTACAACAAAGTGTTTAATACACATTTACCTTGTCTCCCTGCTGTTGATTATGCATAATAATCTTGTTTTGACTGTAAATTGAACCATTTAAAAATGAGCGTCTATCAGGTTTTTCTTAAAACTCTTCAACATCTTCATGTCTTGTTGAAATATATTTTCCTTCAAAATATCAGTTAAACTGAGCAGCTGCTCTTAAGAAAATTTGCTGTACCTGTAAAGGGTATGCTATTCAGTCACTTAAAAAAATAAACAAAAAAAACTAAGAAGTTCCATATCCTGTAGGCATAATGCTTATCTTCAGTAACTAAACTTCTATTAATAGGCATAATAATTTAATAAAATATTATATTTCTAAACAGTCAAAATGTGTTCATGGAAAAATATGAGATAATATAAAAGACATAAATACAAAAGTCCTGTTTAGCTGATTATTAAAACATTGTCTGATTTACATTTCTATAGCCCTATGGTCATATGAACAGGTAATTGATGTTGGAAGTAGTTTCAGATGGGTTTTCAGTTAAGCAAATGAGAAAACTACATCTCTGCATATTTTAACTGCTCTTCCAGAGAACATCAAACATTTGTTGACTTAGCCAGTGGATAAGATATTAAAACTTTAAAACCAAGAAACTAAATATGTTGTTCAGGTATTGATTATCTTTATACAATTAAGTCTTTACAGGGATTACTGTGAAAGTAGTTCTATATTATTTTATATTCATTTGTTTAAACATTTAACAAGAAGCCAGGTACACTGGCTGACACCTATAATTCCAGCAATTTTGGAGGCCAGGGTAAGAGGATCACTTGAGCACAGAAGTTTGAGACCAGCTTGGGCAACAAAGACCCTGTCTCTAATTGAATTTTTATTTTAAATTAGCCCAGCTCAGTGGCACAAGCCTGTAGTCTCAGTGACTTGAAAGGCTTAGGTAAGTGGGTTGATTGAGCCCCGGAGTTTGAGGCTGGTGTTAGCTAGGATCATGCCACTGCACTTTAGCCTGAGTGACAGACTGAGACCATGTTTCTTTAAAAAAAAAAAAAAAAAATAGGTGAGGGCAGCTGTATGATCATCTGACAAAAGGCTGCTCTCAGCCTTTATCTCTCTCAGTGCCTTCAACTCATCCCCAACATTCTGTTCTGGCCATGGGTGACAGAAGCTGAGCACCTTGGGGTTTTATTTCCAGCTCAGGAGAAACACTGAGTGTGTAAGTCCTGTGCCCTGCCAGAAGTCATATCATAAAGTGAGTTTAGTCTAGCCAAGATATCTCTCTTTAATCTTTCTGCCTTCCAATGTTTAAAGAGTATTCCTGTCACTAGACACTAGTGACAGTTTCTCATCTTCATAATTTCAAGGTGAGTAGAAACTGGCGTGATGCCCTTTGACATAGTCTCATGCACTGAGGCAGAGGGAGGGGATTCCCTTTCCCATCAAATGTAGCTTATATATGTATTTGGGACGAATCCTTGTTGTTTTCGAGTTTTTCCTCCTCAGAAATAACAGGGCGGCTCTCCCTGGATCCATTTGTTGCCATGGTGATGTGCTCATGGCTTTTGTTGGTGCTTTTCAACTTCAGTAAGCCTCTTTCTGTTATCCTTGTGAAAATGTCTGCAAGTTCTTCAGAGCTAATAAATGATATTCATCATTCCTGTCATCTGATCACTATTATGGGGCCTTGTGAGTGAGCATGGAGTCTGAGCTGTGCACCTGCACTAAGGGAACTCTCAAGAATGAGCCCCGAGTCAGCAGCACAAATGCATAAGAGGTGGTCACCTTTCTCCTCATCCCAGACTCAGGGTGCTGGACGCAGAAGGGAGTGCAAGCAACTGTACCTTGTTTGGACATTACCATAGGAATCCAACTGGGTAGCCTTTATTGGTTTCAAAACAGAATTTACAGACATCCTAGTAGCTCAGAATTATATTTTTAAATGAATAGAAATAAATTTTATTAAATGACTTAACAGAAAAAAACACTACATGTTTAGTACATGAACTAAACTTATGTAGTATTGTTTGAAGAGTATCTACAAAATTCTCACCCTAATGTTTTCTTGCAAAAGAAGTGAAAATATAAAGTGCAGAGACATTCTGTAACAAGGAACCACTGAGAAACGCAAAATATTTGAAAGTCATGTAAAATTTATATGCATTTTTGAGGATTATAAAAATAATCAGTTGTCATCAGACTTTTCATTTTAGCAACATTTATAGAATTATTTTCTAGTGGGAGTTTTCACACAGCTTTTGAAAAAAAATATTAAAACTGAAAACTTCCTTGTATTTTGTAAACTACTGGGGTTCCAATTCAGTGTGCTTTTTATATATTTATAAGGACCACCTACAGCATGTAATATCATGGATCTTTGAGTGAAAATGAAATAAAGGCATTCTCACATTCTGTACATTCATAGGTTTTACCTCAGAAATTAGTTTTTTTCTTGTCTTCAGGTGGAACTGGAACAAGTAAAGGCATTACCACATGTTTGTATTTATAAGACTTTTCTTCACTGAACGCTTTTATGTTTTCAAAGAGAAATGACAAAAACTGAAGACTTTACCATGTTTCTTAAAATTTTGTGTTTTTCTCCATTTTAAATCCTAAAATGTCTTTAAAAGCAAGTGGGAAAATTAAGTTTATTATCACATTTTTTACATTTATGCTTTTTCCCCAGTATCAGTTTTTCTAAGTTTTCAAAGAGAACTGAGAAAACTGCAGGCTTTCCCATGTTTATTACATCTATAGGGTTTCTCTTCAGTGTGTGCTTTTTCATGTGTTCTAATAGAACTAGAACATATAATTGCTTTACCACATTTCTTACATCAGAATGTTTTCAAAGATATCCCAGCGGACTAACATTGTCCTATGTTGGTTTTGTTGTGTTCCTCCTCCCACAGAAATGAGCTTGAAAGACAGTTTTTGCAGCTAATTGACTATAACATCAAAGTTTCTGGAAGTGTTTATGCCAAGTACTATTTTGATCTTCGATCCTTGGCAAAGGACAATAGCTTGCATTTGCCATTTTATCTTCTCAACAAAGAAAGAGCACAGAAACTGCAAGTAAGGCGATGAAGTCACTAAGGGGGGTTTTCTGTCAACCACCAAAGCCAACATCTGTAACTAGATTAGATTAAGTAGTGATGAGAAAAATGAAAAGCTACAAAATTAACTTACATGCTGAAGAGCTTATTAACCTTTTGGTATCTTATTTCCTGTATTATTTATGGTTTATACAAGAATCCACATTATTTAAAAATTATAGATCTCTTCTGTGACCATAATTCAGAATATTTTTAACCAAATTTAATTCATGCTTAGTGGTATTGTTTTTGAATTGCTGCCCTTTCAAATAAGCACACATGAATAATTTCTTGTAATTCCATTTTAAATGATATCTGCATATATAATGCACTTACCACTTTTGCCTGTTTTTTATTACTTAGTTTGCAAATTTATGTTATTTTCTATTGTATATATTACAGTGCAGCCAGTCCCATAAGTTTGTTAGGCAAAGCATTAGTGCTTAAGCCAAGAGACCTACACTTAGTCTGTATAAGGTATGAGCATCTCAGGTACTGGATGCAAGAAGTACATGGGTTTTACTGGAAATGGTAACTTTTGGGGGGCAAAGCAATATTTATGGTTTGTGACTTCTGATTTCAGTTGTGAGCAAAGTTACAACTGAAATGGATGCATATTTAAAATTAGTACTTTCTGTAGTTCCTTGGAAGTACTTTCGAATAATATACCTTCTACCATAATTAATGTGTCAGGTTCTGCCTTTTGATGCTTTACTCGTTCGACCTCTTTGATGTTCCAGTGCACGCCAGCACACATCTGCTTCATTCAAATTTGCTTTGAGGGTATAATAACTACTGCAGATTGGGTAGAATCTGAATACATTAATAAACTATAAATTTTCCTTTGCTCCAGCAATCTAATCATAGCCCTTAAAGGAGATTACCTTAGTGAGGTGGCAGGGAGTAGCATCCCCGGAACTTGGCAGTGTGAACCTCAGCCAAAGTAGCTGTAACTGTGAACTATCTAAAGGAGTCTGCATGTGAGGCTTATCATCAATGGTGCTTGTTAAAAGGTTAGAGCCCTTTTAAAAATTGTACCTCTTTTCTGTTTCATTGACTTTCTTAGGCTGTTTCAAGGGTGGAAGACACAAAAATCTTTTATAGTGCTACCATGAGAAGGTCCTTCAGCGCTGATAATTTCATTACTCTTCAGCGCTCTAAACCCATTATCTCTTGAAAGAAGAAATGAGGGGCTATATCATCTGAACCCCTCATCAAAAAAGACGGGAAAATATTACCTCTCTTGCTCAACAACTAGAAAAGTCAGTATTTTCAAAAGAAGAAAGATCTTAAAGTTGAGAGACTTGTGGACAACTAGGACTGCACTCCACAGGAAAAAAAAATGGGATCTTTGCAGTGCAACAACTCTCGTACACTCTTCTGTCTTGCTAAACGTAAACAGGTATAAAAATCACTCCAAAGTGAAGACTTCTTGCCCATACATAGATATTTTTTTAGTGTGTGGACTGATAGCTGTGAACTATGTAAGGGCTTTAAAACAATAGTTTAAATTTTTAGATTTTAGACATAATTTTCTAAATTTTCTTTTCTATTTTTCTTTTCCCCAATATTGCTGCAGATGCATTTAAAATAAATGCAGTATTACTATTAAAACATGGGACTGTAACAACTCATGAAGCCACTGGAAGCAGACTGCTCATTTTCAGGTGTCAAAGAGTTCTTCCTGCCTACTCTTACCATCGGAGCTGCTCGTCACTGGCAATCATTTTAAACAAAAGCTGATGGAGGACATTTGCTGTTCCTATCTTTTGCAAGCATTACTTGCTAACATTTTAGCATGTTTGGGGTCACAAAAGAAAAACTATTAGTTATTGGTTACCTACTTGTATTAGGGTCCATGGTATGTTTCTTATAAACTGTAATGATCCTTCTCATTTGCTGATAAATTTTCTTATTTGTTAAATAAATGTATTGAGAGATGTTTTCATAATGCCAAACCACATGACGATCCAGTGGTAATATAAAAATAATAATATGTGATGTGACCTAAAAGTTTCAGGGCAGATTCTAGCTTTAATATAGTGTGCTTAGGCCCTCCAGCGCACTGCAGCTTATGTATATAAACCTTTATAAAATATCATTCAAAAGTTTAACTGTATTTATTTTTTCTTTTTATAAAAGATAGGGTCTTACTATGTTGCCCAGGCTAGAGTGCAATGGCTATTCAGAGGCACAATCAGGACACCACAGCCTGGAAATTCTGGCCTCAAGCAATTCTCCCATGTCAGCCTACCAAGTAGCTAGGACTGTAGGTGTAGTACCACTGCCTCTGGTTTATTTTGCAAAAATTGAATATTAAGCTTTTAACTTTTTGTTTCAGTTAATATCTGCTGTCTCTAAGAAATAGTGAAACAAAAAAATTAAAAGCTTGATATTTAAGAGCTGGGCATGCCTGTAGTCCCAGCTACTTATTTAAGTGGGAGAATCACTTGAGGCCTAGCATTGGAGGTAGCAGTGCTGTATGATTGTGCCTGTAAATAGCCATTGCACTCCAGCCTTGGCAACATGGTGAGACCCTATGCCTTTAAAGAATTGCAAAACTAAATACATGTATAAGCAATATAATAAACTTTCCAATGATGTTTTATAAATGTTTGTAGCATTGATACTTTTATAAGTATCAAAGCTTAAAATTACACTAAGACTTTTGGAATTTTTCTATTTTTATAAAGTGCCCTCTTCTCTTAAAGTAGTTCTTAGCAGGGCTCTTATCTACATTGATCACCTAAAATTATTTTCCCTACATGTGATAAAGGAAGAATATGATCAGTGTTAATTTACATGTAACAGATTAGAAGGAATTGTACCCTAATAGTAGTAGGTGATTAAATATTTTATTATCCCACGTGTTAGCCTGGCTACAGGTATTATATTTCATGTCCTCCTGTTTACAAAGAAGAACTTCCATAAACCTTAGAAATCTTACTTCCTCAAACATTACTGTTTATGGAGTTTAGAGTTTGGAGATTTAGGTATTTATTGCAGTTTTATTTTCAAATGATAAAGGCTATCTATAATTTATGTGATTTTTATTTCTCATGTTTACATTAAAAGAAAACCTGATAAGCTGTTTTAATTAAAATGTGACCAATGTGTTTATAACACTTGTATTTACATTATGTTACATATTTGCCTAACTTAAATGGTTTAAGTCAGTCTTGACATGTCCAAAGATATTTTGATAACTAGCTTTCACTGTTCATAAGTTGGTTTGATTCATGCCTCTGTTTATGATATAATATTTGTTCTCTCTCTCTTAAGCTCTTTTCAATGTGAAGATAATTTGTTACACTTAAAATCACTGTCTGGCCACCGTACTTAGTGGCATAGTACATTAGATGGCATCTTTGAATAAATGATTATTGTACCAGCGAGAAAAAAAGCATGATGTGCTTATTAGGATATAAAATTATGTAAATATACAAAGAGAAAGGATTTCCAGAAATAATACAGAATTAGAACAAGAGGTGTTTGAGGTTTTTAGTTACACAGAAAAAAAAAATGGAAGTACATAATATAGAATTAGCGTTGCGGTACAGAGGGTGACAGATCACATAATTTGACTTTAGCACACTGTTTTCAAGCTTATATTTTAGTTAAAAATATATCAAATCAGTTAGGTTGTTTTTCAGAACTAAGAATCTAGCCACTCAGCTTCAGTGAGTCTCACTAAATCTTTAATTCTTTAGTACCTAAGGTAAAATCTTTAAATAACTCATCACCTTATCTTGATAAAGTGCTGGCTAAAATCAATGATCTCATTTAACTTAAAAGAAAATATTTATCATAAATTACTGTTTATAAGAAGTTTTGCAGCATATAATATGACAACAAGCAGAAATCCTGTCATATATGAGTGGTCGAAGCTTCAAAAAACAGTTTGGGAGAGAAGCACTGGGCATGAATTTGTGACTTCAGGAATAAGTCAGTAGAATAAAAATCACTAACATTGCTCTCCCATTTGGCTTGAATTCTAGAAGATAACACAGTCATTTTGATAACTGGGAAATTGGGTCAACTTAGGATAAGAATAAAATGTCACTGAAAGCAGATAGGTTTTCTGACAAATGTTATGGGGCATGGAAACCAAGCTGCTAGTCCAGTGGCAACTATGGCAGTTTTCCTAGAGTTTGATATCTAGGAAATATTTCAACTGTTGTAATACAGCCACGAGTGAAATTTTAACTCCAGTATATTGTGAACTGAACTTTTACATCATTGCAAGGAAAAGACAAAGTTTTGAAATATACATTTGAACCAAGTGAAATTGCCATTCTTGTAGGTCAAAAATGGTTGTCAATGGCAATTTCATGTGGTTCATCCTAAGGTGACTGCTTAGAGCTCAGTGTTTCTGGAGAAATCTTATCCTGGCCCTTTCCCTCACATTTCCTCTTTATGTAACCTATATGCCCACATTACTAAAATCCAACAACACTAAATTCCAATTTTATCACAACTCAAGGTTCATTTTTGGCCTAGTTTTTTTACATTTCTAAATACACTATTTCTTGATTTTAAAAAAATGCCAAAGCCAATTTTAACCAAAAATCAAATCATTCTTAGTTCTGTATTCAGCTCATTCAGTGTTTCTGGAAACTAGTTTAGCTGCAGTATGCAAGTTAGCTTGAAGTTTTCATCACCAAGGGCTTCTCCCTATGCACATTTAAGATGACCGTGGCCTGACTCTTCCTTCACACAGCATTGTTGAGTATGAAACTACTTGGAAAATCACTTCACAGATGGCAGAGAAATCTCCCAGGTAAGTGCTAGTTTCTACACAGGATCTGTAGAGTACGCCCAAGTTAAGGATTAATCTAAAATCTACTCAACAGTCACTTCCAGACCTGATTGGGCCTGACATTGTGCCAGCAGGCAAAGCAAAAGATGTAAGAGCCCTTCAGTGGAGTCTGCACCCCTACAACACAAGTTTTTAAGGCAATTTCCACTCAGTTATTTTAAATGTGTTTGGCAAGTGACAGAATAGGTACTTAATGTGAAATAAATTTTAAGAATATCTGCTTGTGGTTTAGGATCTCCAGGGTGCAGGAAGAAAAACTAACTGGGAAAGTGAAATATAATAAAAATTATGAGAATCTTAAGTCCAGTGAAATAAGGTTAATACTCTTTAAAGAGGAACAAGTTAGGTGATTCTTACAACTGCTGTAAGGGAGCTAAGCAATTTTAATGTGATTAGGAAAATTCAGTAATAGTCACACAACCTAAGGTCTTTAATAAAATACCAGTAGTATCTTCTTCAAAAGACCTCCACTGATTCTCAAATTAGGCTGCTACCTTCTTGTAAGAAAAATTGCTTTGTCTTCTCCTCCTTGTCTGTTCTACAGACCCTTACCCGTCAGCCCAAGCTGGTGGCTCCTGTGTCTCCTCGGTGTGACAACTGACTCTTCCACAGGTAGAGCTTCAAGTGTTTTCTCCACCTCCTCTTTCACCAGCTGCTTCACCCAAGACCCTTAGGACCCTCTTTAAACAAAATTCTCCCAGTCTTACCCTGGCTTTTTCTGCAATGCTTGATGTTGGTCATTATGACCCACTGCCAATGCATTATTAGCACCAGGTTCCAGAGCATGCAGGCTGTATGTGGCTTGCAGACTAACTCACCCCTTGTACCTCCCTTTCATCACTTATGTGAATCCTGTGTTCTCCAAAGCAGCTCTTCCCAACTTACTGCACTTACCTATTCTCCTGACCTACTCACAACCCTCATCATGTATTCTCAATCTAGACTGAGGTTGAGGTTGCACCCCCACCTTCCAAAACCTACTATTTCCTCTGACATTAAATTCCTTGTTCTGAAGGTAACCCCTTCCCATCTAATGGAAAGCATTGCATCTCTAACTCTAAAATCAACCTTTTATTTACACCTGCTCCATCAATTATCTTCCTTAAAATTGCACATACCTCCCCAACTTGGGGATGCAGTAATTTTGGTTTGGTTCTCTGAATGTCTGTGTTTTCTCAAAATGTAGTCCTCAACTCCCCTGTCTCTCTTCCACTGAAAGAGCTTATGAAAAATGAAGGTTTTCTAAGTGCAGTGTGGTATCCTAGATTTGATCATGGAACAGATAAAGAACTTGAGTGGGATATCTGATGAAGTAGTAACGTGTCAACACTGACTTTAGTTTTAACAAATGTGCCATGTTAATAAGATGTTCGCATTAGGGGAAAATTGGCAATGGTATTCAGAAACTCTGAGTTATTTTGGCGACTTTTTGTAAATTTACTTTTATAAAACAGCCTCTTGGGCCCCGGAACTACTGAGTCTCAATGCCTGGGACTAAGGCCTGGGAATCTAAATTTTTAAGAGGTAACCTAAATGATTCTTATACAGCCTCAAATTTCAAATCCTCCTCTTGTCGATTCCCTTTCATTCCATGTCTGAACAGTTGCTTCTCCCTTGTTTCACCTGCCTAACTTAACCTGAGTCAATCTGTTAAATCTTCTGAATTATATGATGTAAGTACTATTATTATCTGTTTTTCCCTGATGAGAAAGCTGAAGTAGTAGGAGCTGAGGTGTCCAGGATCACACTGCTCAGAAAATGTGGAGCTGGGACTTGAATTCCCAATCAGCCTGGTTCCCAAGTCTGTGCTCATAACCACTCTGCATCAACCCTATTTCTATTCATGGTGAGCTAAAAAGTTCTCTAAGTAAAGCGCTAAAAGCAGCATTATTACCAATAATATTGTCCTAGGCTTACCTATTTCTCTAACTTTCTAAGTCCAACCAACAGTCCCTCTGCTTCAGCATATGGACTTTGCCTCCCCTGCTTTTCCACTGGAGATGAATGAGCAATGAGAAAGCATGGGGAAGATGTGCTGACTCTAAAGTCCTGAAAATGGAAAGAACAGTTGCTCTT